CTGACCACTTTTTACAGAGGCACAATTGAGAGCATTTTAACAAACTGCATCACTGTTTGGTTTGGTGGCAGCAGTGCCTCAGATGGAAAGTCCATACAGAGAGTGATAAGAACAACTGAGAAAGTTATAGGAAGCTCATTTCCCATTTTTCAGGATATTACTTATAAACGATATGTGCTTAGAACTCGAAGCATTGTTAGTAACCCCACATACCCACTTAATGGTCTGATTCTGTTGCTTCTCTTTGGGAGGAGGTTTCAAAGTATCTAAAGCAGGACTACTAGATTATGTAACAGCTTCATTCTTTGTGCCATCCTTCTGGTAGACTTGCAAGATCCCCCTCCCCATATATGTATGCATTCAAACTAGACTGTGTTGTTTCTCTGTGTCATATATATGTGCGTATGTGGGTATATGCATGAAGGTTATATTTTGAAAATGCAACAAAATTTCATTTTAATGTATGCTGATTAAGGTACATTTAAAGTGACAATAAATTATTCTATTCTATTCCTTTCTTCCTTCCCTTCTTTTTCCTTTTCTATTCCTTTCCCTTTTTTCTTCTTTCCCTTCTTTCCTTATTTTTCCTTCCTTGCTCTCTTCTCATCTTCCCTTCTTTTTCTTTCTCTTTCCCTTTCTCCTTTCCTGTCCTTTCTTGCATGCTCAAATGCAAAAGAGGAAACATTTGCCCCTTAGTTTTGTTTTTAGTTTGTTTTGTTAGCTCTCTGTCACTTAAAATGGCGCTCGGGATCCAGTGTCCGGGCTTTGAGTTTGACACCCCTGATTTAGCACCTTCAAAAACTGCCTCTACTTGACTGTGTTAGAAGCCAATTAATTAGACACAACTAATACTAGGACTGCCATTGGATATTATCTGATATACATGCATTTTTTCTAAAAGACAGATTCATCTTATCTTGTGCTTGTAATGCTTTGTCAGGTGGCAATGAAACTATCTCAAGGTTAAGGAATGCATTTTTTATTTTAATTTTTTTAATATTTAATTTAATTTTATATTTTTATTGTATATTTTATTTTTTAATGTGTTTTGTTGTAAACTCCTCAAACAGTGTGGCTACTGAGCAGTTGAAATATTGAATGAATAAATGAATGAAATGGTGGGAAACAGCATGTCAGAAAAAAATGGATAATACAATAATCATATATTACAATTCTTTTATTACAGATGCATATGAGAAAGGACTTTACCTCTTACACACATTTAATGTCAGTCAGGTATGTACATTTTCTAAGCATTATTTCCTGATTGAATGAACCAATGCAGGTAGTCCTCAACTTACAGCAGTTCCTTTAGTGACCATTTGAAGGTACAATGGCACAGAAAAAAAAGTGGCTTATGACTGTTTTTCACGCTTACAACCATTACAGTTTCCTCATGGTCACGTAATCAAACTTGGATGCTTGGCAACTGATTCATAATTATGATGTTTGCAGTGTCTTGAGGTCATGCAATCACCTTTTGAGACTTTCTAACAAGCAAAGTCAACGAGGGAGGCAGATTCACTTAACCATATTACTAACTTAACAATTGCAGTTATTCGCTTAACAACTGTGTCAACAAAGGTTGTAAAATGGGGCAAAAATCACTCATCAAATGCTTAGTTAGCAACAGAAATTTTGAGTTCAGTTTGAGATCAAGGATTACCTGTACAACAAAATCAATTATGCTTCTATGTCAGCCCTCCAGATGCAAACAAATGTCACCAAAATGGCTTTTTGAATCAATTACTTGCCAATAACATTTGTACATGTCTGTGTATGATACAGAGACCAAAAGACAGAAAGAGGGGAAGATGAAGCAAAATGTGTTTGGAGAGAGGGGGGAGGGAGGGAGAGAGGGGGGGAGAGGGAAAGAGAGAGGGAGAGAGAGGAAGGGAGTGGGAAAGAGAGAAAGGGAGAGG